TGACAATCGCCTTTGATACATATTTCAGTGTAGTAGTTGCGGGCACAGAGCAGGACCAGAATGCCTGGCTCTCATACCCTGCATTTGCTGCTTAATGGTTGCAGAACCACATAGCCTCACTTAGAGTGTCTCTGTCCTCAGAGAGCCCGGACTAAACTGGATCCCTGAGATCCAATATCAAAATCACAGGCAAGGGAGTCGCATCTCGGGTCGGGTGTCTTCCAGGTGTGTTGATTGATGGTCATGGAGACATGGTATAGAGTAATCAAGTCCCCTAGATAGGCCAGCAGTCTAGCTGAGGCCGGCCTTACACGATACAGAATGCTCCTTAGTGTGCTGGGTGGAGGCTTGTGCCACCAAACGCATTCACGTACTGCTTTGCCTTCTCTTTTCTTTCTTTTTTCCTTCCTCCCTTCCTCCCTTCCTCCATTTCCCCATTTCCTTTCCTTTTGTTTTTTGTTTTGTTCTGAGAATCTCTATATATCCTGGCTATCCTAGAATTAAGCTGGTCTCTAACTCATAAAGGTCCTCCTGCGTCTGGATGCCATTCATCACAGAATAGATAGATAATCTTACCAGTTGCACACCAAGTGATTTATTTCTCATAAGCTTTGTCACTGTCACTTTCCCTCATCGTCATTTAGTACCCCGGATAAGCCATTCCTTCTCGATTGTCTCCTTACTGTTAATTTAATGTGTGAGACCGACAAGCAGTGTTTGTGATGTTCAGGAACCAGTTCACTGATTCTTGGAACTGTTCACTCCAGGCCCTCCCACTGCCATCACTTTGGAAGCCTTATCCTGATCCCTTCCTGTAGAGTGGCTTTGCTCTCCCCAGGACCTCAGGGGCTTGCTGAGCAGCTACATCCCTGGCTGCATCGCTCAGCATCCTTCTCTGATGGAGCAATCATCATGGTTGTTCAGTTGCAGTGAGCTCCAGAGAACATGCAGGGAATGTTGAGCGTGTGGCCTAGAGGTGGAGCTTGTTCAAGGTTATTGAGTGTTTAAAACAGTTACGCAAGTGTCTATCGGAGAGCGCTCCACAGCAGCAGTAGAAGGGAGAGAGGTCCTCCAGTGAGTTTGATCTTGGGCAGATATCTTCAGAGTTCACCTTGTCTCAGCTCCCTAGAAATACCGTGGGTGTAACTGGTTGCTGTATGCTAGGCAAGCTGGTCGAGGTGGCATGCCCCTTTAATCCTGGCACCGGGAAGCAGAAGCAGACAGATCAAGGGCTGAGGAACTTATCAGTTACTCAGCCCATAGTTATGAAATAAACATTTATCAAAATGTCTTGTTTTGTGACTCTTACTATTTTATTTGGGGATAAAAATTGACTTTTGCATCTATGCCTTTTCCTAGCTCACTAACCCACACACATTCTTGGGAGTATCTTTGTCTTTCCTAATAAACTGTCTATAATTATTACTTAAAAGAAAGAAAGAAATTAGGAAAAATAAAAAAATAAAAATAAAAAAAAATAAAAAGAAAGAAAGAAATTAGGGAGCTGGAGAGATGGCTCGGTGGTTAAGAGCACTGACTGCTCTTCCAGAGGACCTGGGTTCAATTTCCAGTTCCAGGGAACCCGACACCCATGGTTAAGCCCCAATGCACATAAAAAAAAAACAAAAAACCCAGATAAATAATTAAAAAAATAAATAAAATGCTGCGTGGTGGTGGTGGCGTCGGCAGGGGGAGCAGCACACTCCTTTAATACCAGCACTCAGGAGGCAGAGGCAAGCAGAGGATCTCTGTGAGTTCAAGGCCAGCCTAGACAGGCTCCAAAGTTACACAGAGAAACCCTGTCTAGAAAAACCAAAACAAAACAAAAAAACCAAACATTTAATCTGGGTGGTGGTCAGGACAGCCAGGGCTACACAGAGAAACCCTGTCTCAAAAACAACAAAAAATCAAAAGCACACAACATTAAAAAAGACAAATCAAGAACACAGTTCCTCAACATCTCATTACTTGAGCTCTTAATTGGGTGTTTGGCCTGGTTGTTTAGACAGATTTTGTCGCGTAGTATAGGCTGGCCTCAAACCGGAAGAGTCCTGGGAAGCTCGGTGCCCGGCTTGGTGGTCCTCATCATAGTTAGGCTCTCAGCTTTCGCTCCTTTGCCATTACCCTGATCCTCTTCCGTGAAGTCCTGTGATGTGAACGTGTTCGCCCCATACCCTCCCGCCACAGTTAATCCAGTCAGCAAAGTTACGGTTTTAGGGAGTGGGACTTTGGGGAATTGAGTCATAAGGGCTCCAGGAGGTTGGAATAGAAAAAGAGAGAAAACAAACTGTTGTATCCACACGGTAGACCCTGGAAGCTGGGGGTGGGGGCCCCTGGAGAGGGCTCTGCCACTAAGTGCACATTTCAGTTTCTGCTAAATGAGAATTTCAGTTTACTTTTTATTTTTTCAGGGCCTTGTACAGGTTAGGTGAGCTCTCTGCCCCTGAGCCCTTCCTCAGCCTGTGGTTTGATTTAGAGCTGCGGCTATGAGGTGTACGTGTTACAGGCCTGTAGCATCTGTTTACTGCTCTGTTCAGTACCCTGTTATTTGTATCTGCTCAGCTTGCCCAGGCTTGCAGACGGAATTGAGTGGTGTCTGGATGCAGCCTTGAAGACACGCCCAGCATCCTGAGGCCCTGAAGGGAATGCTTGAGGCTTCAGTTGTATTCAGGGTGTAGCATTGTTTAGGTTTCCGCACTGGGGAGGTGTGGTGAGGAGAGAAGATGGTCTTTGTCTGTGCCAGAAGGCATCACAATTTTGGTTTAGAGTTGAGGACTGAGTGAGAGCTTGAGCAAACACAGGTTTGCAGCAGCTGTTGGGAAATACTAAATTGTAGTCTTGGAGTCTTTTCTCCCTGTTAATTAACCCTTTCTCACATAGTGTTCATGATGGGTTCATTTGTCTCAGTCATTTTAGACGCCATCTTTGACAATCTACACTAACTGTTCACACTGTTAATGCAACTAGGATTTAAGAAATGAGAGGATGGAAATAGAAACATCTCAAGAGAAATGTAGGGACTCCATAGGGGAAACCAGAAATGGGCTGCAGCTGGGAGGAGGGGCCAGTATTATAAGTGCTCTGTGGTTCTCTTGTTTGTTCCTTAGTTCAGTTTGTTCTGCAGTGATGTGGTTTGAACCTATGGCCTTATGTCTGAAGCCTTCTAACACCAAGCTATACCCATAGCCAGCTTTTTTGTTTTGTTTTTGGTTTTTCAAGACAGGGTTTCTCTGTGGCTTTGGAGGCTGTCCTGGCACTCGCTCTGGAGACCAGGCTGTTCTCAAACTCACAGAGATCCGCCTGCCTCTTCCTCCCAGTGCTGGGACCAAAGATGTATGCCACCACTGCCTGGCTTGTCTTTTTTTTTTTTTTTTTTTTAGATTTAATTTACTTATTATATATACAGTGTTCTGCCTGAATGTGTACCTACAGGCCAGAAGAGGGCACCAGCTCTCATTACTCTTTTTTGTTTGCTTTTTTGTTTTTTGAGACAGGGTTTCTCTGTGTAGCTTTGTAGACCAG